GCTCTTGACACTGACTTTTTTATTTCAACTAAAACCTTAGTTAACGACTAAGTTCATTATAAATCATATATTATGAAATTGTAAAACCTTAGCGTATAATTATTATTGAATTCAATGTACTTCAAATCAGCTCGGTTGAGTCATATGACACAAAATTTGAACACAGAATACATACAAATGGGCTTTCTTTTCAAAAACACCGGAAGCCTGGGATATGACATCTACTGTCGCGAAAAACAAAGCAAAAAGTTTTTATCGAGTACCCTGAAAAACCATTTATCATAGATCATAAAATACTCAACGTTCTTCCGATAAGTTCAATTAATGTGTAATTCATCCTGTTATCTTAAGAAACGTTTGGACGAGACATCTTCAGAGACCAATGGTCTGTTCATGGTGGTCGTATTTTGTACATATAGTAGTTGTACTTTGATACTTTACTTGATAATTTGCAAAACGTTGACCTGTGAATTACTTGCAAAATCTCTCATAAATATTGTTTATTGCCAGACCAGTCGAGTGAGCATAGTTCAAACTGTTACTAAGGTTTTTTTTAATAGCTGGATTCAATTGATGTTTGCCAAGCGTTTGCGGAACCTCAGTCGTATATTTACTTTCTTGCTATTTATTGCTAATTCTCGTTAGCAGAAATTAGTCATGGCGAAAGAATCTTTATTGCCGGTGGCGTTTACTTTTTGATGTCACAGGTTCTAATTATTTTTACACAGATACGTGTGTCCTGATGACACGTGAGCTGCAGGACAAGATCATTTGAAATTATTCTGAATAAACAACGCTTGAGTAGGTGCTATTTTCATTTTCTTTGGTTTTTGATTTAAATGATCATAATTGGCCATTGAATGGACTGGAGAAAACTAACTAAGGCTGAGTGAAATAATAAAACAGTGCATCGCGAAACACCAAATAAACTTTGGTTTTAAAACCTGGAAACCGAAGAAGCTGGCTAATTTTCAAAAATCCGAATTCTTGCCAGGCCTTATTAAAAATAGACAACACGATAGATTTTGTTTTTTATCTTTCCACTTCCGATTAATTGTTAAAATGACAATAATTTTTTTAGCATATATAATGCAGGTAGAGATACATTAAAAAAATAAAAATGTAGAACACCACGCAAAAAAACGTGTTATTACATTATTAGTTTAATAAATTTAAACTTTGTTTTGAACATTTTTTTTTAAATGTGTTGGTATTTAGGTTTACATTCCTTGAGCTTAGACTTTTTCCATTTTTTTAAGGTAATAATTGTACCGTCCTTCCAAATGTGGGAAAAGTTTGGGACGAAGAACATTTTACTGACGTGCTGAACTCAATGTTTTTAGCCATTTTGTAGAAAAGTATATCACTTAAAGGGTTATATTTTGTAGCTTGATATTGAACTGTTTTCTACTCTAGGCCATGAAAGGCGAATTTCAAAGGATATTTTACCAACACTTCCAACCAGTTTGTGTTTATCTCTTGAGGATTCGAGCTCACGGACCCGGGTCAATAAAACGGCGAGTCGTAGGTCTCAATGAACTTTGGTTGACAAAGAAACGGCCACGGCTGGAGGGGCGGGCGCGGGCACATTCTTCGAAGGGAACGGTACGGCGACCCACTGATCTCCGGGGACATCGACCCTCGGCGTCGGCGGCCCGACTCCCGGGGAAAGTGAGCTTGAAAGTATTCTCACCCCTGAACCCGAGAAAGTTACAGGTGCCGGGTCGCTGATGGGAACAGATTCGTTCATCCGCCCGGAGCGGATCAGGAAGTCCCCCCGAGAAGGGCTCAAAAGTCTCGAAGGGACTCTGAGGTCGTGACTCTTCGGAGAGAAAGTTCCACGGTGATTCGTCTTCAATCCAAATTATAAAGAACAAACAGAAAGTACCAGAAAAACGGGGCTTTAATCAAGTAAACAAAGCCTATTCCATGAAAAAATCAAAACTTTCAGAGTTAAACTATTTGTAGATATTTTTTATTTGTTAACTACTTTTTTTCAATATAAAACCATCCTTAAAACGAAAAATGGCCTTTGTGAACCGTCCAACGGTTCCATTGATGTAGCGTTATTTCAGTACTGCAGCCTTTTTGACCTCGGTGCACTGATGACTCTGTCTAAGTGGTAAACGTACAATTAAACTGTACAAGTTTTCATCAAAAACTCATTTATAAGAAAATAATAATAAATGCCCATAAACATGCCGCAACTCAGCTATCGTCTCCTGTTGTGAAAGAAAAATGAAAAATGCACCGTAACGCCATAGCTGTTTACCGATAAAAAATAAAATAAATAATTCTCTCTTCGGCTTTCTAAGTTCTAACACCATTACATTATAAATGTAACTTAGTATAATATGTTGGTATGCGAGAGCCGACTCATAAATTCCGAACTCTTCTTTTTCTCCAACACTTATACTCAGACAAACAGATCACGATTCTTTTCAATTACCACTATTGATTATCATAATTTGTTTTGTCATTGTAATTTTCCCACTACCGAAGCTTCAACGGATAAAACATCTAGAAGAATTTTTTTCTTAAAATAATCGCAGGTGTTTTGAAAGAAAAAGAAACACAGTGCCTTTTTAATAGGTCATTTTCAAAGTTTTCATTGATCGGCAGATAAAGAAGGACAAAAGCGGCTCCTTATGCGATGAAAAAGCGCAGCCCGAGGGGAACAACGGTTTCCTTTTGGGTGGGGTTCTTCTGGCAGATATAAATTTCGAAAAAATCAAACGTTCACCCCTGAAATGAACTCATTTACCTCTATCATGTATTTCACATGAGAATAATGCGCGTTATTATATTTTATTTACAAAATTCTGAAACCTGAATTGTATGGACCGTGGGGCCAAGTTGTGTATCGGCCCATAGAAGGAGATGGACTCATGAACTGTGGCCGGTTTTGGTCGTCATGCAGTCTGCGGTTGTTACAGGTCACTGGGATGACGCGTCAGCCACATATTCTCTCATTTCCTGTGATCAGATTTTTTTATAGTTCAGCTGATCCGTTTTCATTGTAAGCTCTTCCTGGCACGAAAGAACTATGGAAATGGAGTAAGGAGAAGCAAAAATCGGAAATCTTAAAATTGCCCAGAATTAATCTGTAGTTAAAAGTTCTTAACTCTTTAATAATTCTTTTCTGATCAGATAATTCTTGGTTTCTTCTTCGAATTCCTTTGGTGTTGATAAAAAAAAGTTCATTTTAGCTTTGCATGCTTTCGTGATTCCCAGTCTCCTTAAACCGGCAAAGGAAGAAAAAAAGAAATAAAGGTTTTCGCAGGATGATTTCATAACTTTGTTGCAAAACCGTGGGACTTTTTCTCACATTAAACGTCGGGGCATTTGATGAGACAACTCTTTTGTTTGTATTGCACCGGAGAATTTCTTTTAGGAAACAATCGACTTTCTTTGGAGCCCGTCTGAGTTAAAACGGTGTCTTCTCGGGATTAAGAAATACAGCGCGGTTCCGTTTGAACAACCTGTTAACATTGTATCGAGGGGTGTTTCTCCACAGTTACGAGGTACTGGAACGTTGTTGACCTCTTTCAGGAGTTCAAGGGCATTTTCTACCAGTTTTGATGTTGTAAGGGGATGTTACAACATTGCAAGGGTCAGGACCTGCAGCGGAGCTTATCCATAAAAGACAAATACGCCTTTCCCTTCAAAAAGGGACAAATTGCTCAAAGAATCCTCGTAATCGACAAATGGGCTTGTTTTGGTCGTGACTTAGCCAGGACTTCTGAGCCGTCCGGGGTCAACGTTTCGGAACGAAGAAACAAATAGGAACTTGCATAATTAAACTATTTTTTTCTGTACTTTGTTGTTGACTCGTCTCAAAAAATTTCAACTGCTCAAAAATGCTTGTTGGCTATCAACATTCAGCAGGCATCAAAGATGATACAAGTATAGAAATGGAACTAGTATGCGAAGAAGACGTCGAACTAACGCAAGAAGTGTTCAAAGTCCTAAAAACATGCTTCACCAATTCGGCAGTATCACCATTAAAAAATGTATACTGTGAAGAAACAAAATTACTATTTTATATGTGAAGTTTCGATGCCCATTGATCAACTTCTTTTAAAAGTTGATTTAAGGATCAGAGTTGTGGTCTATTTTATTATTTATTATTGAAATTAGCCAAACTTTCGATCAACTATTGAATCTTCTTTAGGTCTTTCCAACATTATTATTTACAAATATCATTAAATTTACAACACATATCCATATACATTTTTTTTGAAAATCCTTTATCCAGCTGGTTATAAACTATAATAGTTTGATAGAGGCACACATAAACAAAAAATGATAAAAAAGGAGATCACGTCAGCGAGTAAATTATTTCCTCGTCTTCACGCATTCAAGACTGCATTCGCTCCGGTGAGCGGAAGCAAGACAAAAAACAAATTCTTATTGAACCGGATCTGGAACGATGGAGGTTCCTGGAGTCAACACTCTTTGAAATTATTAACTATGATTTAATAATTAAAATAGTTCAGGAACATTTTATCTTATTTTTTTTCAAAAATAAATTAATTAATGAAGAATCTTAAAAAAATCAAATTCCACAATTTCTGAGCTGTTGTTATTGGAGGATAATAGTCTATGATTCAAGATTACAAACTAAATTTTATCTATGGACCATTAAAAAGGCATATTACTTTATGGATTAACCAAGTTCTTTTTTATAAGTGGTGAAGTCTGTATATGTGTTAAGTAAATAATTTGGTCAAGTATTTATCATTTTTAAGTCTCATCTGTTTAATTTAAAAAAGTCCGATTTTTCTTGCTAGAGCTTACTTTAAAACTTAAACCAAAAAATAAATAACACCAAGGTTTAGCAGTTTCCTCTAATATTTTTTCAATTACATAAATCTGGATAAATTAGTCCAATTAAGATATGTGCATTTATCCTCTCAGTCAAGCCGACAGTAGTCGATTGTTCTGTAGCTGTTTTTTTAAAAAATTTTAATGATTTTTTTTTATAAATCTAGGCTTACCTTATATTGTTTTGGACGTAAAACACAAGTAAGTAAGAGACTTGGGACTGAGGGTTCTGACTGCTAAGCCCGCTGTATATACCTGTCCTAGTTCCCCCCATATAACCTAGATACCCCCACTCGAAGTGCTGAGGACTCTCCCCTTTCATTTTCACCCGCCTTTCCTCCGGAGGATGGTCCGGGATGTACCGCATAGTTCCGACCTGGCATCCTCAACCTGGCTAAAACTTGTCGCAATTCGGCGTACGCCCGGTCAATCGGTTTGAACTTATGTGACGTGTGCTGTTTGATGTGGTTGAGACAAATTTTGTCTATTTCAGTGAATGTGCATGATATTGCATATTAACAAATAAGAATTGCCTAATTGTTAATAACATATTTAAGTTATAAAGTTATATCGAGCTGACAATCTGTCTTAACTTTTCTAAGACCATGTGGTGCTGTTTTTTTCTGATGTACTGTATCTCATGATCATCATGAGGCTATGCATTTATCATGACTATTAGCTTATTGGTTCGTTGCATAGATCAAAGAATCCCTCAGAGACGAGATGTTGGATTAAACATACCGACATGCCATACTGATTTCGAACGAGATGAAACTAGACGTTAAAGAAATTGCTTATGATGCGTAACATTTTCACCCAAATACAAATGATACAGAATGAAACTCATATAATACACGAGGATAAGAAACCTCGAACCTGGGTTAATTGAGATGGATAATAAGTAGCCGTTTTTCTCGGCAAGTCCACGTACCGACATGAAAAGGGTTATGAAAGTCTGGTAAGAGCCATCGTACATATTGGTTTTAGTGAAAGTGAAATAAAAATATATATTTACAATGAGTCAAAACACATCAGATATCCCACTGAGCCGAATATCACACTTGACATTTGAATTTTTAATATTGCTTTCCAATTTCGATGAATAACATTACTCACAAATCTAGTCGCGTATTATCTTTCATCGTTAGCCTGTTTTTTATTTCAGACAGCTAACAAATAAACTGCTGAAATGTTCAGAGAATTACAATCCAATAATACTAAAATATTTACTTACAAGCAGAAAGTTTAGTTCGGTACAGTTAAACGTGCAATACTGGTGTAATTTTTGGTTCGCATTCGCCCCGGATGTCGTAAACAATTGGCCCGACCAATTTTCAATGACAATGTAATAAATTCAAGTTGTGGTGGAAGATTGAGTCACAAGTAACGATAGGTTGGATGGGACATGATTTCATTCATCCACCACCACGAACCATAATTTTCATTATGAAATATTTATCTGTCCAGAAGCTGATTATTGTCATATGCTAAGGAGATTAGACGGTTTAGACCATAAAATATAGTTCGTCTTGTACGTTTAAATTTTCAAGGGACGTTTAAAGGGTTCTAAATAATTACGAGACGGAAAAGACAGTTTGTTTACTATTTCTCTAAGCTAATTATTCTAGTTGAAAAGGAAATATTTTCTAATTAGTTTCTTAATGTTTTCCTAGACTGTTTCCGTTCAAAGAAATTGATTAATTATGAAAAACCAGTGGACCTAACAAGTTATGCAACAAAATACATAAAAAGTATAATTCCTCCTTCCTGCTCTATTGTTCACAAAAGCCTCTATCTTATTGAACTTCAACATTTATTATAATAAAAATTCCTTAAAATATCTTAATATTCAGAACCGAATCGACATTTCTCTACCACAAAAGATCAATCTGGGAGATATTGTTTTTATTTTTAGCTTTTTTAAGTTGTTTGGAATCGATTCTTGCAGTTTGTATCGACCAGAAATGTTTTCTTGTTTTGTTGGATATGAAAACGCAGATATTCCATTTAAAATGTACAAACTTTGTCATATTTTTAACATCACAATCAAATTTCTAATTCATCAACAACAACAAATAATTTATAATACGATTATTTACGAGTAACTTTTGGAAAGACTGTTTTTCATATAGTGGTCTGTAGTACAAAGTAGTATAAAGCGTATTAAAATCACCAACTCTTTTTTAAAATACATATTTGTTAATGCCGCGTGGATTTTTTATTTTTAGAGAAATAAGTGAAAAGGCAAAAATACTGTTAAATCGTTTCCGTTGGTATGTGAACTTAAGTATTTCATTTGGATATTTCATAAAAAATATATTATAATACGAAGTTTATAAACGGCTCTCTCTCTTAAAGTGAGAAAATAAGTTAAATTATAAAAGTTTTTTCTTTATCTTTCAATCTCTCGCCCTCTTTCTTTCTCTCTCCCAATCACCTTCGCCTCTACTCTCAAAATCTTTTATTCTTTCTCTTACTCTTTTTCAAACTTTTTTCTTTCCCTAATTCATTCAGTCACTCGGACTCTCTTTCTTCCTCTCTAGCTCATTCACATACACTATTTGTCTTTCGAAACCATTCTTCTTTCTCTCACTCTCGCAATCTTTCTTCTTTTTCCTACTCACACACTCTCTTTACTCTCTTGATCGGTTTCTCTTTCTCTTGCTCTCTGCCTTTGTATTTTTTTTCACTTAATCTTTTGTACCCAAAACACACACACACACACACACACACACACACACACACACACACACACACACACACACACACACACACACACACACACNTCCATTTAGCCATATAGACAAAACAATCTCTCTCTCTCTCTCTCTCTCTCTCTCTCTCTCTCTCTCTCAATCTGTATTATTTTTCTCATTCATTCACTATCTCTTTTTCTATTTCGTTCTTAATTTCTCTTCTTTTTCTCATTCACTAAATCTTTCCTGTTTTTCCTACTCACACACTCTCTTTCTTTTGATGATGGTTCTTTTTTACACATCCACCTACTTTCTTTTCTTTCTTTCTTACTTAATTTTTTCTTTTTCTCTTTCCCTCACTCACTCACTTAACCTTTCTTTTTTCTCTCAGTCATTCAATTTCTTTCCTTTTCAATCTTATTTCTTCCTCTGTCTCTCATTTTTCCCAAACTCTTTTTCACTAAGAGTGAAGAATAGTTTAGTGGATAAAAAAGAGGAGCGTGGGAGAGTGTGAGAATGAGAGTGAGAGAGAGTGCTGTTAAAGCTAATTTTATAGTTCCGTGTAATAATGTAATTTTTTATGAAATAGCCAAATGAAATACACATTCAACAACGAGGTTAACAGTACTTTACTTCCCTTTCTTCTAATAATTTCTCTCTTTCTCTCTCTCTCTCTCTCTCTCTCTCTCTCTCTCTAAATAAATAAATAAATAAATGAAGTATTAAAAAATATTAATATCTAAAGACATTTGATGAGTTTAATGCTCTATATGCACAATTAATTAATGATGATTTAATGCAGCCTACAGATTTTGTTACAGCACTATTTTAAAAGTTTATCTTGCAAAAGCTATTTCTAAATTATAATCGTTTGAAAAATCATTATTTTTAATGAATTACCTCCGCATACAATTATGCTTTTAAAAATTTAGCAAGCATACTCAATGAAAACTCCATGAATCGTCTCAAATCAACTTGCAAAAGCGTAATAACAACTATTTGTGTTTGTTACATGCAAAAAATATATTTTACACAAAAATATAGTTTATAAAAGGATAAGGTGGATGAAGGATGTAAGAGTATAATATTTTGTTTAATTTTTCGAAGTTGAGGAACCGTCGTTTATTTTCAAACTTTAACAACTGTTGAACATCAGTAAAAGTATAGCTTATGTAATACTGTGACTTTTCTTGTGAAATAATGGAAAATGTGCTAAAAGCCCCTGTTAGGAGCAGGCTGGTACAAATTGCTAATTTTCTTCCTGAGGATGATCCAATCATAAAATCCGCCTTCTCTCGTACATTCGCCCTCCAAGGTTATTTACCGCCCGTTCTTCACGTCGAGCACAAAGGTCGATCGAGGCTTAATTGGACTGGGGATGGATAAGCGGCTATTTTTCAATATGAGTCATCGTGTGAGATGAGTTGAACAGTCTCAACTCACCTATGGCGACTCGTCACAAAGTTTATACACAAAATATCGAAACTATCGAATTGCTATCGCAATTTCAAGAAGAGGCGATAACTTGACAATTTGCAAGGAATGAGCTTTTTTATTGTGGATATCTATGCTTGTGAAATATGTTAAAAGTATGTTATAATAGGAGCAGTTTAAGTGTCAAGCTGATGTGATTGAATCACAAGCGTTAGTCAAATTACAATCGAATTAAGACTTGAGTGCAATGCAGTTTAATGTAAATTCTATTTCGTATTTCGACCTTGTAAAAACGATTACAGAACCTCAACCTCTTTTATACAAGCCCGATGCAATTAAATTTAAATATCTATAAAGATTCACCTTTCAGAGATGAGTTTAATGATATTGAAGTGAAAAGTGAACAAGTACCGGCGCCGATTTATAGCTCTTTTAGCACAGGAAGATTTATATTTTGTTGACGGGAAATCGTTTGAGGCATTCGTCTCTCCTTGTTTGAGATGTGGGCGGACCTTGACTGTTGACAACACCGCCCTTTCTCCGATCTTCACCTTGATATCCGACGCATCTTCGGATTGTTCGTCTCATTTGAATTTTTCGCACCAAGGCTGCACCGACTGATAGCATTTCCGGGATCGTCGATTTCCGATATTCCTTGGAAAAACGGCCTGTTAGATTTTTTTTTCTTGAGGTAGTAATTGGGGGTTCATCACCCCGCAGACCTCGGGGAAAATCTCACAATTAAATACAGCCAACCAGGTTAAGTTACTTTAATAAGGAACGTTATAAAACATTACTAATCGAAGGGAAATGTTTAGTTTAACAGAGAATGCCTCAACAACAAATTAACGCGAAAGTGCGACCCTCCAATAACCACGAACACCTTGAGTTCATCGAGCGCGAATGTGCAAAATAAAACTGAATAAGGACAAATGCACCCAAATATTCCACCAGGTTCACGTTATATAATCAGCCATCACATCTATACATTAACAGCTCGAAACTACCGATATCTTGACAAGTTAAACACTTCGGGCTATACAGTAGATGTGGAATCCCCACAGAAGACTCAATCGACACTTTACAAAATTTACTTCAACCTGTTTGGACATATGGAGCAGATGTACATGACATATGTAGTACCACTTAG